TAAGCACATATGCAATATCAACCCAACATGCTCAAATTGCGTGAAAGCATTCAAAATAAACTTGCCGAAATGCATTCAAATGGGTCACTGGACAAAGAAACTTACAAATTTCTAAATGACAAAAAACCTTCACTCAGATGTGGGCATTTATACCTTTTACCGAAAACCCACAAAATACCAGCAAACATTTACAATGCTCTAATAAACGGCCAGTGCAGCATTAGGAAATTACCACCTGGTAGACCAATTATCTCGCAATGCGATACGCCAACGAGGAAAATAGGACAATATTGCGATTATTTTCTTGTACCCATTGTACAAAAACAATCAACTTATATTAAAGACACTACGGACTTTATCACCAAAATCGAAGGCCTCACATTGCCAACAAACGCATTATTAATTACTTATGATGTGACGAGCATGTACACAAACATGGAATTCAACGAACTTCTCTCATCAGTAAATGAGGCTTACACACAGGCCAATAAAACGCAATTAGACATTCCATATCCGGACCCTGAAGATCTAAACTTCTTACTGAAATGCGTCTTGGAAAACAATTACTTTGAATTCGATGGAAAATATTACAAACAAGTAATAGGAGCAAGTATGGGGGCAGTCCCCAGTCCAGAGATCTGTGACATCAGAATGTATCAAATCACAAAGCAAATAATGGCACAATTTCGTCATGCCAGCAAAATTGTCTTCCACGGCAGATACCGTGATGACGGTTTCATAATATTCAATGGAACGCAACCAGAGATAGAAGAATTCATCAATATCGGCAATCACTGGCACAAGCATCTCAGATTTACATTTGAAATTTCTCCATCTGTTGTGAACTTCCTTGATACTACAGTGTATAAGGGACAGAAATTTCAAAATTCTAACAAACTAGATATCAAGTCGTTTATCAAACCAACAAATAACTTTCAGTATCTACACAGACAGAGCGCTCATAGCCCAGCTGTGTTTAAAGGATTCATTAAAGGAGAATGCATTAGACATGCAAGAAATACTACCGACCCTGAAATATTACATGCAACACTTAATGACTTCAAGACGCACTTATCAAAGCGAGGTTACTCTACTTCGGAAATTGATCCTATTATCAAGGAAACGGTCAACACAAACCGATCAAAACTCATCATCAAAAAGACTAAAGAACATTCATTACGTAACCCTACAGTACTGGTTACTAAATTTAACCCTTGCGTTAAAGGACTGAAAAAACGAATTCTGAAATACTGGGACACCATTCTTAGAAATCCAGAATGCAAAACTTTATTTCATTCTCAACCAATCATAGCTTACAGCAAACACAAGAATATAGGTGACGAAATAATCCGGTCTCACCTAAAACAAACACCATGATTTATGTCCGTGACCCCTGATGAGGCTTCTTAATAGCCGAAACACTCTACAACTACTTGCATAATTCAAATCAAATATTAATCTGCTCTATGCAAAAATCATAATTACTAGAAGTGTGGTTTGGAGTGTCGGGTCCTAATAAATCTCTTACAAGTTTGGTTGATTGATGTCGCTAATTTTCACACAAAACATGCTGCATTAAAAATTGTCTAGCATGAGTTTTATTTAATAAAACGAGATGAAACTTCACACCTCGACAAATGATTGTATTTACAAAAATGTGTTGATCTATTATCTTATAATAATAAAATGACAATTAGGAACATTGTCCACATATTTTTTGAATGACCCTCGTACGTATACAAATGCAATTGGATTTAATTCAATAGTTTAAGTACGTGTTAAAAAATCAATTGAGAGAATTTGATGATCACCTTTGGGGTACTTCATTCTTAACATATTTATTGTTTAAATCAGGTTGCTACCAAGATTCTGCCATCAACACTTCTATATCCATTGAAATGAGAATTCCTTCTATTGGAATGTGTCAGGAACTATGTTTGGAAAAAGAAAAAATGTTCTTTGCTGTAAAGGTGTTTATTTTTAATAGATATCAAGTTGAATTTAAAATTCGAATTTTATTTCAGGTAAGATACAATATACATGGCTGTACATGTATCAAGCAAAAACAACTTAAAGATAACTGTAATTATAACTCCAAATAATTATATAATCGAATTCTTAATTATAATTGATAATAATTTATAAACTCTTCCAGAATTACACTTGTGTATGCATTCAAAAAGAGATACTGCACGGGGTACATTCCCATAATCCAAAAAAGTGTTTCTACAGCTGCAGTACTTATACAGATAGGAAGACACTGTATGAGTGCGGGGGACCATATGCATACAACATTTATTTTTCAGGTATTTCCTTCTTTTGAAGGTCTTAAAAAAATGCAGTACATGCACTAAAGTTGAAAAAATAATGGGTAAACGCACAAATGTTTTTGAGCGTCAACGATTCTTGACAACAGAGAAAAAAAAAACATGGGAGAAATAACTGTCAATACTTCACTTTTTGTACTAAATAAAATAATCCCGGCCACTTTTCCCGATCAGAGGCTCTTTACAAACTGCTTCACAAGACTCATATGCGTGTTAATTTCATTTGGAACTGTAGCCTGAATTGCAATGTTACTGAGACGTTTTTATTCACATATGATGTATTTTTGAAAATGAAATAGACTGCATGAGCAATCTGGGATCTAACTACAAGTCAGAAGAAAAACATGTTTTAACATGTAAGTTCTTCAGCCTCGAAAGATTTAAAAATGCCTCTTTCATGGATAAAATCTAATCAGCTACGAAATAGCTGATATCAAAAATGTCAAAAGGAAAATATGAACTCAAAAGTAAGGGGGTATAAATAAACATGGAAGAAATTTAAAATGATAACCAGATTAAAACACATGTTAAAGCCAGCTAAGTTAAAAAGAAAGAAGAGTAAGGAAGTGTAGAAAGGAAATGAAAAAAAAAATTATTATTTTTAACTAGACAATTAAAATAGACTATAAGATCAAAACAATCACCAATACACAGGGAAGCTAGAGAAAATGATAACATGGCAATAAAATAACCCCCGCCACTTTTCCTGACTGAAGGCTCTTTATCAACTGATCTATAAGATTTAAATTTTATATGAAACCGTAGGCTATTAATATTGTTACTGTGTTATTTTATTTATATATGTATGAGGGCTGTTTGGAAATTATTGAGATATATACTTCTACTCCATAAAGGGCAGAGATAAATTTAGGAAATTTCGTCAACATTTAACGAAGAACAAATTAAACAGTTAGGCAAAATTTCAAATTTTTTGAATAATTAGATATTTTCTGGTGAAATCATAAACATGCATACCCAGATAGCAAGACTATGTTGGGCCAACATTGGCAAAAGGTTGTATGGTTGGCGTTGGGGGAACAACGTTGGGTCAACGTTGGACCAATGTAACCATGCCAACCTTCTCGACCATGACAGAATGCCTATGTTGGCCCAACGTTGGCCCAACGGTTAGCAACTTCCATTCTCTTTACTTCCCAAGGAAGGAGGGATGTTGATGTTGGCCCAACGTTAGCCCACTGTTTGTAATACACCCTTAAAGAAAGTGTTTTTTAAAGTTGGTAGTAGTATGTTGGCCCAACGTTGGCCCAATGTTTGTAATACACCCTTAAAGAGAAAGTGCTTTTTAAAGTTGGTAGTAGTATGCTGGCCCATCGTTGGCCCAATGTTTGTAATACGCCCTTAAAGAAGTGTCTTTTAAATTTGGTAGTACTATGTTGGCCCAACGTTGGCCCAATGTTTGTAATACATCCATAAAGAATGCGTCTTATCAAGTTGATAGTAGTATGTTGGCCCAACGTTGGCCCAATGGTTGAAATACGCCCTTAAAGAAGTGTCTTTTAAAGTTGATAGTAGTATGTTGGCCCAAGGTTGGCCCGATGTTTGTAATACATCCATAAAGAATGCGTCTTATCAAGTTGATAGTAGTATGTTGGCCCAACGTTGGCCCACTGTTTGTAATACATCCTTAAATATTGTCTTATCAAATTGGTAGTAGTATGTTAGCCCAACGTTGGCCCACTGTTTGTAATACACCCTTAGAAAACGTGTCTTATCAAGTTGGTAGTAGTTAATGTTGACCCGATGTTAGCACGAGTTTTCCTTGTTTAGGTGTTTCAAAGATGGGATATTTATATTGGGCCAACGCTGGCCCAATTATTATACTGCCAATTAAATAATGGTGTCATTTTTAGCTGCTGAGCTTTACGTTGGGACAACGTTGGTTCTAATTAAGTTTTAATTTAGATGCACATTCTGAAATAATTAAGAGGACATTCTATGTCCATGCTTTTAATTGTGTGACTGTTTTTGTTTAGAACTGATATTTGCAATATTTTAACTTTGAACTTAAGTGATCATAGCACCAAAAAGTGTTTCATTATATTTTTTGAATTGTGCATATGCATGCTTATTTATTTGAAATAAAACCCTTGATATAATGAATTTTTTCATGAGCGTTGTATTCATGAGAATTTAGAGAAGACTGAATAAGTTCTCAGGAACAGGATGTGAATGAAGCCTACATATACATAAATCAAAATGACACAGCTTTATAATTAAATTGAAACAAAAGTTAGGCGTTCGCTAAAGATTGGAGATCGGGAATCAAATTACACCAAACTGTGGAGTGAGCTGTCAGATTCAATTACTCACAGGTGGTGAGGCCATAGACTGAAAATGCAGGGCAAGCAAGAAGAAGTGAAATTTAAATTTGTGGATTACTTAGTATACACTTGCTATAGTTGCATTTAGATGCGATGTACATGTAAGTATATCTATTCTTATTTATTCAGGTTAACTGTTAAAATTGATTCGGAATTCATTCTTTTCATGTTTTTGCACACAAGCACTGTAAGTTAAGGCTATTAAAATAACATCTTTTAAGTTGTTTCTATCTAATTCTTAACTGTCTATTACAGACACGATTGTAACGAGGAAATTAAGGTGCACTGATAGTATAACACATTATTTTCTTTATTAAAAGATTTAAGTAATATTTATTCATAAGTTGAACCAGTAATTGTATTGTTTCTAATATCAAACTATTTTGTATATTTTCAGTCAGAGACTGCAAGGAAAACAAATGTTGTCGCGGTAAATAGCAAAGAAATCGAAGACCATGCATAAACAAGTATATAAAGTACGAGTACGTATGACAAAGATCAAGATGAAGAAAACGGGAGGCGACGAAGGACGGAAAAAGAGCGAGAATACAACAAAAAGACAGTAATAAAGGAAGTGAGCCCTGATTAAGAACTTTGAATTGATCATTTTTCATAATTTACCTCTATTGTCTATTTTAAAATTAATTTTGTAAATTATGATTGAATTGATGTATATAAAATATTTTCACAGCGAATCATTGGTAATGTTTTCATTGAACATGCAGTCCATGCATGCATTATGAATGCAGATTGAATTGTGTATTAATTTTTTTTAAACAGTCATAAAATAGGTTTATGTAAAGCATCACTTAACCAATTGCAGATGTTTCTATGTAATAACTACGTTGGCCCAACAATTTGCCATCTGACATTGTAAAAAAGGGTCAACATTGGGCCAACCTAACCAACCAGTTGTTAAGGTTGGCTGTTAGTTGGCAAACACTAAAAACTACGTTTGCCCAACAATATGCCATCTGACATTTCAACAAAGGGCCAACGTTGGGCCAACCTAACCAAACAGTTGTTAAGGTTGGCTGCTAGTTGGCATACACTAATAACTACGTTGGCCCAGCAATATGCCATCTCACATTTCAACAAAGGGCCAACGTTGGGCCAACCTAACCAACCAGTTATAAAGGTTGGCTGTTAGTTGTCATACAATTATACCTACGCTGGCCCAACAATAAGCCAACATGTTGGACCAACGTTGGGCCGATGAGCAAAATTACCGTTGGCCAACGTAAGGTTACCAACAGTGGGCCAACGTTGGAAAAAAAAATTGGGCCAACGTTGGCCCAACTATGTCTTGCTATCTGGGCATATATGTCTATCGACCTGGAGCAGCATCGCTACGTCATTTCAGCCGATGTTTTCGCATGTGAAATGATCGGGAAGAGTAAGTTTACTAGCTCCTTTCATTGTTATCATTTATACCATACAAAAATTTAACTGTCATTTTTCTTATACGATTCTTTACAAAAATGTGTTGGTGTTACACTTATGTAAGTTTTTCATGCGTCATATATACAGGATGATTTAGTATCATAGTGCTTACTTAAAACTATTATAACCATTTAAACCTACATGTAAGAGTTAAAATAAAAAACAGAGGATATCTGAATTGTGTAATTTGATTATTGCTTCATCTAACGAGTTGAAATGATATATATTCGCGAGGCTTGCCGAGAAAATATATACTATTTCAACAAGTGGGATAAAGAAAATATCACATAACACAATTATAATTTTTTGCTTTACACGTATCTCATTTGATTTTCGCTTTCAAGAAAACTTTAAGATAACCCCTGTAAAACAATCATTATGAATGATTTCTATAAAAAAATTATGACGTTGCGCTGTTGTAATTGACATGCCAAAAGAAAGTAGATCATAGAAAAAAAACTAAAATCTTTGATATCTGCATTTTTAAAACATGTGTGGCTATCTGTTGGCTTTTAATTAAAACGAACTAGTAAGGATCATTGATCATATGAGTTCTACTCATCCTTTCATGCGCCATATGCTCAGTCAGTTAGGGTGCTAGGCACTTGTAGATCGATGGTAAGTAACAGGCGCGTAGCATCGTTTTTGGAAGTGGGGGGGCCAACCTGAGAAAATTTTTTTTTACTTACCTGAAAAAGTTGACAAGCAAAAAAAAAAAAAAAAGGAAAAATTAAAAGTTGCCCAAAAAGTCGAAAATCCTATTTCGTGGGGGGGGGGGGGGGGGGGGGGGGGGGGGGGGGGTTAGTGGCTAACTTTTTTCAAGACCAACTATCTTTCAATTCAAACTTTTTGGGGTAAATTTTCTTTATAACACTGCCCTTTGCTGAAATGTGGGGGGCCAACCTTCCTTTCAGTAAACATTTTCTATAGTAAAGGTAATGTCGGCAGAAGACGTGGGGGGCCTGGCCCCCCCCCGGATACTACGCCCCTGAGTAAGCATAATTGAAACGGCTTTTTCGGCATAGCCAAACAACTGTCAACGAAATCTCTTTCATCTACAGTATATCTGCTTGGAGTAACAGTTCTCATGAAAAAAAAAATAAATTGGGAGGGGACACCATGAGCAAGTGCAGATAGAATTTGAAAATGCATTGAGGTATTCAAGTATTTGTCTTGCTTCTAACGAAACATTTTCTCATTATCACTCATTTATAAGGCAGAAATTTTAACTTAAAGTTTAATGTTTGAAGAAAGGGGTTATGTCAAAATCGGAATTGATATTAATAAAGCACCAAACAGTGGTTTATTTCATGTGTAATATCCTCAACACGTATGAGATAAATGGTTATCAGACCACCATAAAAAAAATTTTGATTTTCAATTTCATGAGATATGTATCATTATATCATTATATTATCCTTTTCTTTAAAAACACCGTTCATTTCCTTATAACACTTCTTGTTTTCAGAGTAATTTATCCATTCGATAATATTTCAGAAAGACCATTTCTCTTTGCAAATAAAAATGATAATTTACATAGTTACTGAAACTTATACAACGTAAGATCCATTGCAAGTGAAACCATCATATGGTATTTGCTATATCTCGGGGTGGCATAGGGGTACATGTAGGGTGCTGTGGACAGTTTTATTCAATTAAAAATAAATAGTTATAATTATTTAATATATAATTAATTTTGCTGTTACTTTTTAAAGTTAGAAGGCAACGTCATTTGTTCATGTAAACATGATCGACGATGAATTGATGTAAAGAAAATGTATATCTGAAGTACACAAAATAAATACATTAGGAATAGTTTAGAAATTAAATGAAATGATATATATATATATATATAATTACATTAATCAATAAATTTACTTCGATCAACATACAAATTGAATAATATCTTTTGGCATTCTTAATGAAACTTTTGATTTTTATTGTAGTCAAAACGTTTGAAAAAAGCACAGAAAAGAAGGTTGCAATGTGCATGGCTCTACAGTGTAGTGATTCTAAATATCTAAGTAGAAATTGCAGTATTTCACTCCAAAGTCTTTGCAAGAATGAAAGTAAGTGTATGTTTTAGATTACCTGGAACACTCGGGTGACCTATTGCCACCTGTTTTCTTCCTTGTGCGTCGTCCGCGTAAACATTTGTGCATTTGTTGCTTCTTCTCCGTAACTGCCGAACCCATTTTATTGGAGCTCTAGAAACTTCTGAACTTGTTATTTATTACTTATATATACATGTAACTTGAGACAAACAATTGAATTACTATGTTTTGAAAGTTAAATTATTTCACTAACTGTTCGTCGCAGATTTTGAAAAAATACGCAAGGTTTAAATCAGCTTAAAAGGCGGTTACGCTGTGAATTCATAAGGCAAATATTCTATCTCGATGGGAATATATTGTGAAAGACTACTTATGATCAGTAATCATAATACATGTAGTGAACAAATTCTTGCATTGGAGTATTTGTTTTCGTGATAATTGATAATTAAAGCCTAAAAGGCACAAAAACACGCCTGAAGATTGATGATGAAAAGTTGGAAGAATTTCGGTCGTTCATAAACATGGAAAAGGGATGGATGGATCCGATGAATGGTGTAAGACTTTGTATATGAACGAGAGACACAAATAAACGATTTAGAAGTAATATATTGGAATATAAACAAAGTTAACAATATGACTGACAGAAATATCGAATAGGTTAGACGACGGACGTCCTGGCACTGTCATACACGTGCTCCACTTACAGGTCTATTTTTCTTTGACGGGAAACTAGTCTAATACACACGTGACACCCGGTCTCATAAAAATCAGTAAAAATCAAATATCTACGTAGGAGACACTTATTCGAGTCATTTAAGGTGATTCGACTGTGACGAAATCAAATCTACCGCGCAACTCGAACTGCTAAAAATAGGCTGATCACTGCTGATGTGTTACATGTACTAATAATTTTGTCTAATTTTGATATCAAAGTAATTTAATGGACCTCAAGCAACAATTTGATAGACAATAAAGTAATTTTCAATAGAATTCTTATAAAATTATTCAACATTGGCTTTTCGAGTATTATTCCGACATCAGGGATTAACGACAATTCCCTGGCCGTTTTCCGCTACCATGTTGACAGAGACGGTCTAAGGGTCTCTTTTATTTTCAAAGAAAAACACTTTATTCGGTTGTTTTTGTATGCAAGAAGTGTACTAATCTATGCTGATTGGTACCTTACAACAACTGTCCAGGCGATTTCATTTCTAGGTACCATCTGCACGACAAGATCAAGATGTAGACCATGATTTTCAAGTAAGCAGGTAAGTACAACAAAACGTTCCGACCGAGCCTTCACTTATTCTTTAATGACACTATGTTTAGTACGTAATGTCTTCTTAGTAGACGAAATTTATTTACATCATTATGAAAGGTTAGCTCATCGAGTAAATGCAGAAGTATAATCAGATCAATGTACGTTTTTATCTCATCTCCAAAATAAAGAGGGGAAATCACATGGCTGCTATGGGAAGTGCATGAAATGAGTCAATGACACCATTGTTGTAGTGAGTTCTTTTTCTCGTGATAACGATATTTTTTACTTGTCTTTTCAAACAATACTGAATTTATTGACACAAATGAGAAAATAGCAAAAAAATCATGCACATTTGTCATTGACTGAAAAATAGGTCCCATGTTTATGATTTTTGAAATATGAAATTATGTCTTACCTACAATCTTGATGTAATGATAATTAGGTGATGTGCAGTGTAAAATAACATGTAAAAAAAAAAGAAAAAGAAAAAGACAGTTGACCAGTTCTCATATTTTTCTTATTTTATGAAACATTATTGAGGCCCCTGATTCTTGTTTACAGCACACATTTATTTATTAGTTTTTGTTAGGATGTAAATTATAAGGAAGGTCTATACAATTTAAGAGATGTCTATAAAAGTCACATATATGTTAAATACTGTCAGATGAGTGATTTGTTATCTCAATAGGTTTTTAATAACTCCAAAGGAACAAACTGGAGATTCCATCAATAGGCAATAAAAATGTACAACCTTAGTTAACACTTGGCAGGATAATCCTTTTGATCCAGATGCACTAAAAGAAAACTGTGATGCTGAAACCATCTGGCTGGGTATGAAAAAAATATAATTCTAAATTGATAAAGTTTTGAAATTTTAAAAAGTAAACTTGCTAAAGTGATTATAGTACTTGTCATACTGATAAAATGTACATAAGATAACTGTAAACCGGAAAATTTCTCCCCATTTTATTGTTGCCCCTTTGGCTCTGACATCGGTTGGGCGAATTCAAAGAAGACAGTATATTTTCTTAAACAAACTAACAATTTTGTACTGGGTAAATTTTAGATGGGGCAAAATTCTTTGCAAGTGTGAAAGGACAAAAATAAAGCGGGGCGAACATAAGCCTACATACAGTATACATGTACACAGGTAATGAAACTGATACCAGCTTTGTTACATGTAGCACTGTAATTATGCATTTGAAATTATTATTTTTTAAAGGATGTTGTTTCTTAACTTTTATTGTTTTATCCTAACAAATTGCGCATCAGAAAATAAAAACTCAATGCATATACATTGTGCACGAAACTCACTGTAAAATTAACTAGACATGCAGGGCTGATTGCTACTGAAAGTTGTCCATCCTGCCAAAAATGTACTAGCCAGAACCTTGCTAAAAATATACTAGCCCGAACCCTGCTAAACATGTATTAGCCCGAACAAAAATGATTTGTCATTTATAAATTTGTTCTAGCAATAATGTTAATAGGGCCAGGTCACTACATAATCAATGTCAGACCTATATGTATAGGCTGATGAATTCTACCCATTCGCTTGTTACACTTTGCAGCCAGTAATATATGTTGATTTGAGAGTTTTATCAAATATCTGAATTTCAATTTATGGAGAAAAAATTAAAAAGTCAAACCGGACGTCAATACGTGGAAATCTATTCGTCTTAGACAAAATTTGTGCGTTTGGGGCAGTCGGGCGAACAGTGATTTCAAACACTAGTACTGATATACATATATTTACAACTTTAACTCCCTGCATCATCTGCAAATTACCCTTGGGATAAGTTAAAATAAATGGAAGAGCCATACCAAATCTACTAACATATATATATACATGTATGTTAAACTCTTCTATGTGAGAGTGCATTTTAATTTCCCCTTATATGACGATGCAAGGCATTCAAGGTTTGTGACATTAATATAAAAATAAAAAAAAAACACTTTTTATCCTTTATTTGACCTCACCGTCCATGTAATAGTGTACTGAATGGCCCAATTTCTACACATTTTATAGGCCAATTACATGTGAAATGTAAATATTATTTTTTAGGTACCATACTATTTTTATTTCAGTGGAACTAGTATTATGATTAAAATACTTATAATCAGTCAGTAATCGGTCAGTAATAGGTAACGTTATAATAGATGTTACATTATTACATGTATATTCATTGTCCACTTGTCCGTAAGGCTGTAAATGAAGTAGTTTTTTCTTCAGGCTAAGAATCACATCTGCATTTAATTCGGCCACATGTCAACAAGACTGAAGTGTTTATACTTGAGCTGCTACATGTATGAAAGACAAACGGTATATGTTCATCGGATTTTAACCAAATGAAAGGCACAGAAAGTCAAAAGATTGAAGATGGGAAAAAAGGGAAGAAACATTTGTGTCAGAACCTCCCTTAAGATTTTTAGTACTTCTGTATGAACAGACCTGCAGCATGAATGTACATGATATACTTTGTTGAGAAATTTTTGTGACGGTCAAATTAAATCTGTTTTTCCCTGATTCAGTGTGTCCTTTTATGTTTTTACTAAGTTTAAGCTTGCAAAAGTATAGCACTGATACAAGTGAATTGTCATTTTTGTCACGCCTTTTTCTAGATTTTTTTTTTAATGTTAAAAATTCGTGTTCAGGAAATTTGGATTGTTAATTTACAGAAATTGGATTATATGTATATCATTATGTTCCATTTTCAAGTATATTCTAAATGAAAGGGAAAGATCAGTCCATGGATTTTTTGATTTAAGGAAACCTTGAACATTATCGGTTTGTTGTTTTAAAGAAGTCAGAGGAAATTCAGATGTTTAATGTACGTGCACTTTTTTTCTGTACTCTGTAAATATGTCAGTGTAATTTCTAAATTAGATATACAAATTACGTCTTTAAAAAAAAAATTATGAAAATTTTAATATCATGACATTGAGTTTTTTGTTTAAAACACCAAGAATCAATTCAGAAGTTTAAGGTAAAAAAAAAAACAACAGGAAATTTGGAATGTAAATTTTCAAATGTTGATTTTTTTACATTAATTTTCCTTTAAAAGTATCATTTAAAGTTTGTTTTTAACATATTTGATTAAATAAATTGATAATTGATTACTTTTGATTGATTTTTTTAGTATTAATTGCCAATAAATGTAATTCAGGGTAATTATTAAAATTAGAATAGAGGAAATTCGGATTAGCATATCTTTTTATTTGACTCATGACCATACCCATTTCTACCCTCCGTTACTTAGCTACATGCATATATCTCTTATTTAAAATAAAGTTTAAAAAATAAATATCCAATTACTCTTAGAGTGATTTTATAACCATTTTTGTTCTCAAGGTCAAGAAAAAATAGACAATTTTAAAGAAAACAGAGGAAATTCAGTCTGTAACCCTATTTTATTCATGAAAATAAATAAATTGTTATTATAATTTGTAAGTTTGTTGATACTTTTGTACTGGCAGTCGGATTTTTTTCATACATTTTACATTTTTCAATAAGGGCATATTCAGTGGTTGTTGCCATGGAAACGAGCGCATTAACATATATAATTTTTAATGATTCTTAAACCACAAACTTGTCCTTTATCTGAAGGTAACCATCTTTTAAAAGTGTTTAAAAGTTTTTTTCGAAGTGTTTGTCAGCTGTTCATGGCGTAATTGCAGTGCTATGATATTCAAATTATAGCAGATTTATAAAATCATCGTGAGTACAATTTAATGAAAAAATATAGTTTATCATGAAAAATCAAATTAAAGGGAGGGGGTAAACGTTAGAGACTGTATACATGTACCTGGCATAAAACAAAGTCTTGTTTTCTGCTGGAATATTCTCTTTATACACGGGTCAAATCGATTGACAAAAACTGTTTTAAATTCTTGTTTACACTGTAAAGAAAACAATTTTTAATATTATTTGACTAAATGCATATTTTGTTAAACCCGTACGAAGTACGAAAACTACAACGTGGAACACCCGATCCAGTGGTTGAGAATTTTACAATTTTGGAAGAAACGTTTTTGCTTATATCAACCCTGTGCTTAAAAATTAAACCGGAAGAGAATAAGATTTTCACAACGCAACACGTATTACATTTACGGCGGACGAAAACAAGTCTCAAGAGTTCATCTTCATGAATTATGGTTACCTTATAATTAAGAGGCCACCTTTATGAACAATTTCACTAACGTTCGTTATAAACCGAAGATGCACTTTTAAACAATGCGCATTCTAAATGTGTATGTTCTGGATTCACAATCTTCTTATATAGGTACTAAGCTGTGCTTTTATTTCAAATTAATTTTTGTAAAGTTATACGATTGAACTTACCTCATCTGATGTATAAACAAGTATTTTGAATCTAAGGACAAAATTAAACTTTAAAAAAAATTCAGATTCAACCTGAGGACAAAATTGAACCAATATGTATGATTTATAATCTTAAAAAAATAAATTGTTAATTTTTTTTTGGACAAAATCTATTTTCGCTTAACCCCCATGCTAATTAAGAGTGAAATAAGCAATCATCAAGCATCGAGTTCCTTAATACGTCCCTTTAAAAAAATTAATATGTTTTAGCATTAAGAATCAATCATATGCCAAAAGCAAAAGAAAAAAATAAAATTTGTTATCTCCATAAAATGTCCGATGATTTTGTTGATTTTCACTCTTTGTACAAGAATATATCAACTTTGATGATACATTGTATATGGTGTATAAGAAATATGAAACTAATGATTTTTTTTAGAATTGGGTCAAAACATCGCAATGCCATGGAGAAAATCAATGGACGAATGTAAGTTGTCTACAAATCCTTCATATCTCCTCGGAAATCTAAACTTATCAGATGCTGATTCAGAATGCAGAAGGCTAAATCAGAAACATCTTGGTCTATCATGGGTTGGCTTTGCACAGCAAATATACACTAGCGTTGATAAAGGTAAGTTACTGGGCTTATTCATTTATCATTGCATAAAATTCTAAATACTAAAGAAAACCTGAAAATCAGAATAGATTTGTTCGCATTATGCAATACGTAAATAGCAATATTATTCATATTTAAAAAAAAGAAAATACAATTGCTTCTTTTTCTGAAATATTATGTGAGTGACTTTCCTATGATCGTGTTTGATTAAACTTATAATTTGTTTCTAATATTTTTATTTTAGGCCAAATTATCAAAAAGGAAACAATCGTACAATGTCAGAAGTGTAATCGGAACGGATGTCAATATATAGACTGTGGAAATGAAGAACAATACAAATGTGTCGATGTAAGTGTTTGATTTATGACGTCTCAAATTAAGGAATGTTTTTAAGTTTTGTAATTGATGTGTTGATCACACAGACTTGTCATGTAGTGATGTATCTTGAAGCGCGCTAGGGTACGTGCAAGCGCTGGATATTATATCTTTTCTTAACAAGTCTGTGTAATTCACAAACTAATAATTTACACTTAACTTAAATGCATCATTTACATTTGCATATTCCATGTCTTAAAACATCAAAAACATGCTCAATATTTGAATTTCTCGCTGTCCTATTTCGTTGTTTTTTTTTTATCACGTCTCTGTAGCCTCATTGTGACATCGTGTTAGTGCAAATTTCTCCGTGTATATTTCTACGCGTGAGTATACACAGTCAAAAATGGTATTCACATAAATTTCGCTGTTGGCTTACTAGAAAACCAAGCAAATATAAATATAAATCAAAAGATTCTAATTTTTATTTATCCTAACCATAATATCTAAAAATACGTCACAGTTAAATGAGTATTATTTTGCTTTTGAGAAAAAAGGTATTCTTTTTCGAAGGATTAGAATCAGTTACATTTCATATGTGTTGGAACAAATGAGATATATTGCATTTATTTTTTTTTTTTTTGTTTGGAGGAAGGATACACTTTTACATAGCGTTTGTGTTCATGAATTATATATGATTTTTTTTTACAAATAAAACCAAAAAAAAAAAACATATTCACACGAATTAGATAATTTTAGATCGGGTAAATGTTATGGATATTCAGATTTAAAAGGATAAAAATATGTGTGCATGGAGGTGATACTTCTTTCATAAAGGAGAGGGTAGATAAAATTATGGGCAGGCAAAACGCAATAAATAGCACTTCGTTTTGAAGAATCTTCCATGCAGTATTTTCTTATTAAAGTTTCAACTCTCTACAAACGCAATCATTGGATCTATATTCTTTTTTTTTATTATAATTCTGCAAGTTGCAAATGTTATGTTGTTGCGAAAAATTTTAGAAAATTTGAGTTAAGAAAATTGCAAGTGCACGAGACCAGATAAATAGGTATACGGAAAAAGTGAACGTTTCATTTTTTGGATGACTAATTTGATAATTTGATATATCAACTTAGATTCAAATGTTTTTAGAAGTGCATTTCGTCTCTCATATGACATATTCATCTTCTCCCTACATCGCAATAGCATTTGCAGCTTGCAGTATAACTTCACTGTTCAGGGAAGGAAACATGGCGTACCATACACAAAATAAAATGCATCGTGCACAGAACGAACAGAACCATTTACAAATTAAACCGTACGATATTTTTACTGAATGTGCAAGTGAAGCGACGAAATCATTCCAAAAATTTGCATTGACTAAAAGATAATTTTCTTTTATTTCTTTCAACGGCGATCATTAAAAAGGATGGGAATTAACTCTAACAATTCGAAATATTTAAGTATGTATTTTGCTTTTGGACTTACTTCTGTCATCATATCAAGAATTTTACTCAAAATTAATTATGACTTCAAAACAATTCGACAGAGTGTGAGGCCAAGCCACGGTTAGTGCTTATGTGGTATTTTAAGTCTCATATAAAATGCAGTATAGTAATATATTTGTGTAAAAATTGAAATGATAAAAAATATTTATGATGCTTAAAGAATAAAGTTGGTTCCAGTTTAGATATGATACACGTAACTAAAAATGAACGTGGCTATATGTCTGAATTCCCTTTTATTTGAGACATTTTCCAATTCGTTTAGTTTATTTAATTAAGTCTGCAAAAAAAAAAAAAATGCTTCCGGGCATTTACATAAAAGTCAAGTTTATCCTTTTTAATCTTATTTGTTTTAAGTATGAGGGCTGTTCAATAAATAATAACCTCGGTGCTCGGAAAGAACAAAATATATAATATAGTCAACAACAAAAAAAGATTAAACACGAAAATCTAATTTTTCAGTTTAAACCTTATTTTTTTAAGTGATTTTAGATTGTGTTGTGATAAAAATCAAACATGTTCTATGCTGCGAATTGAAAAGTTAAGTTGGTGTAATTTTCATTCCCCCGGGTAAAACAATATGTACTTTGCGACGTCTCAGCGCTAGTGAGTTTCGAATGTACGAATATCGTGGACGAATACTAGCTCCTCGCAATCTTTTGCGAACAATTTGTGCACTTTTATGCTGATTTCTTCAACCAGCAATTGTAGCAGCTGTCTGTGTGGCAGTTATCAATCAATTGCTGAAGGGGGGTCTGACGGTCTGGTCTGGGTCTGGTAGCCCGTATTCTTAGCTGGTGGAGACGCACATTTAACAGCTGCAAAGCCGATTGATGTACACTAAATGCAGTTGCAACCTACTGTTGCGTACCTCCAGTAATTATCATAGTTAGCCAGTGTTGCGTTCATCTTTGTTAAGGCATGAAATTGCAGCATCAATATTGTTATCAAATCTTAAATATGGTTTTACTAGGAGTGTTTATTGTTTCTCTAAATCCACAATATCAATGAAAATAGATCCCAGATTTACAAGAATTTATGAAAAACACTATTTTCATAAACATGAATAATCAAGGGAAATAATTCAACTCTTGGATATAAAAACCCCATGTTGTCATTTAACTAGATAACAGGTATCCAATGATAAAAAGGTAGTTGTTCCATATACTTTCTTAAAAATTTATTTGGTGAGTAAAACAATATGCGTTTCTCTTTTTGTTGAGTATATATTCTCTTTCAAGAAGGATATGGAGATAACGAAAAGTATTTAATATCAAAGTCCACAAAACAATAGAAAATAGGAGCAGAGCAATCATGGACCTCCGAAACATCAGGGGTGAGATCAGGTGACATAGAGGAGTGAGCATTCCCGCTGACCGGTCACACCCGCCGTGTGCTCCTTGTCATGATCGGAAAATAACGGACAAATCTTTCGTCAATTCAGTGTATAAATAATGGACTAACAATTAGTATGAAAACGTCGGTCAACATTGACTCAATGATGAATTGTATTTGCTGACAAAGTCATTGGATCAACCATAAAACATATAATACGAAATGATGACTTTAATCGAGACTGTTGATATTCTTGTTTCATCAATTTGCTTGTCAACAATTTATTTCGTTTTAGACATTGTTCATACATAGAGCATGCTCTTGCGTATCAATTCAACTGAGAGTAGATAAAGGTGATGAAGGTATATTGCTGCATAAGTAAGGGAAGTTGACGATAAAAAAGTTAGATTCATCACGTTTATCATATAGCATGGTTGTTAGATAACCATTAAGGTTTTTTTTTCAAGTTAAATATCAAAGTATGAAACAGATGTGTCAGACTCTGTGGTATCTTTTATCTCAAACTCGCCAGGATATTTCGTATCGACGTAGGAATTGAAATTACCATTGTTAATTGGCAATACGTCGTCGATATATCTAAATGTCGAGTTGAAGGCCACAGCAAGTGTTTTCTTCTTTTCACGCATACGATTTCGCAGAAATTCTGAATATAAAAATAGGTCTGTTAATAACAGAGAACAATAGGTACCCATAGGAATTCCAATAGATCGTTGGATGACCTGGTCTCCAAAAACCACATAAATATTGTCAATCAGAAACTCAAGCATCTTTTAGATATCAACTTCAGAGTTCTAGTGTGTACAATCAGAATATTTTAACAAAATAAATTTGCAAATGACCGATGGACAGGTAAACACACACAATTAAAACACATGTTCGTAACGTTTTGTATTTTTTAATTGTTTTTAGAAAAAAATTGAATTTGACCCTTGAAGTTCGTAAACGGTATATGGCGGATCCTATGATTTCCTGGACTTGGTTCTTATTTCTGAAAGGCATTCCGTCAAGTCAAAAGGTGAAAGATCTGGCTAACATTGTTGTTGTGACAAAAGAAAATCTATTTAACTCCTTTACTCTTTATGGCGTGTTAGTTTTGACGCTGTAATGAAGAAAGATTCTGGTTCCATCCTCTTAGAAACCTTTTGATATTTTTGCAAAAAATTTCTTTCTACACTTCTCCAGAAATTGAACTCCCTACACGAATATGAATTTGAACTACAGGACCACTCGTTTTTAAGAAAATAACATGTAAAACTGTTTTACATGTTTTTCGCATTTAACGTTCTATGTTGTAATCAGTGAATGAAAATTTCGTCTTATTAAAAGTAAGTTGAAAGAAAAAACAATTTATTCTGCCTGCAGTCGCCCGCATTAGAAAAAAAAATAATTTTGCACAATTACGGAAATGCTGTGGAATTGTAGCCCTCTCCAGAAAATATCAGATAAAAAAAATCGGAGAGAGCTACATTGTTGCACATGTACATGTAGCAGGGACCATGAAATTCATAATTTTTGTTCCCCTACACCCATAAATGGTTTATACCAAATTTGGTTCAAAACATTTTATTATTTTTTAAAGGTTTAGCCCCACACATATTTGATATTTTTTTAAAATGAAAAAATGTGTTTGAAATGTTTCAAAATTTATTTTAGGTTTTGACATCGACCCGCAAACCAATATCAGACAATATTACGAGGCTATTCGAGTTTAGTTCTTCCAGAGTGGTAGGGAAGCCCACAAAGATTTACACCAAAGCAATATCATTTGCTATCTTGACAAAGACAACTTCTTTGCCGAAAACAACAATATCACCTTCTACAGGTATTTAAATAGATGTCCATGTTAACATTCAAGCACGGTCTTTTTAAAATAGGTAAAACCATTGATACAGAAATTCATTATGGTGGATAATAAAAAATAAAATCAATACAAGCCCTTCAGTTTGACTTTTTACATTTAAATATCACCACACATGTATTGCTTAACTAAAGGAACATGTAATGAAATCACAAAACACTATCAGAGAGCGAAAAAGACACGCAGATGTGAAAGCTTTGGACACATATCTTATTTTTCGTTAACAATCAAGTTTAAAGCCGATGAATTAGAAAAGGTTTTTACAGTACTTTATTTATCGTCTATGTTTAAAATTTTGTTTCAAGCGTTCAGTTTACATGTTTTTATTTAACCTGTTTTCTTCAACTTTATGGTAAATATATACCTTATGTTTGATTCTTGGAAAATAGTATGATAAACATAGTACAAATATAGTATAATATAGTAACCGAGATTGTTTTCCTCTTTAACTAACACGTATAATCTTTTTCAATTACCTCGAGACTATTAAACTTTTTTATAATTACTTATTGTATATATACAGAACAACAAAACTATTTTACTTATGCACTGATTTGATTAAAAAAAACGGTAACCTAAATATTAGAAAAAGTTATTCAATATAAAATCAATTGATATTTTTCTTGCATCTTACTCATCCACTTCTCATTTAAGGAATCACTTTAATTCTTGGCAAAATTATCGAGTATAATCTGGTTTGGGTCAGTTTATGCTTTATAATCCGCGAAGAATTAGAGTCATTCCTTATGATTTAATTTTAAAATAAACAAATGCGGATGTAAAATTGTGTTGCTTTTTTATGAGTTCAAATTTACCGCGCAATAATACAACAGTAGTAACGGAAGTGTTTGGAAGCGAGGGGAGGTAATAACTGATGCGTAGATCTAGCAGGCATGATGTTTGTTTACCTCAGGTAAGATCGAGCTTCTATTTGAAGTTAAAGGTATATTTATTAAATCTAGAATTTTCCATGGATCTCGAGGACTGGAAATGAGGGGATTGCATGGATACAGATGATTCAGTTGGTTGTCAAGGGTGTGTGTCCCCATTCCAAACCAGATTATACAGAATAATTTGCGTTCATTTTTTTTTGGAAATTAACTAATAAGAGGCTAGAATAAAAAGAAAATCAAATTATTTTAATATACACCGACTTCAAACTTCCAGGCATCATTCTTCCTGTCGATAAAAATCAAGAGACATTCTTTCAAATAATATGGTGATCAAAAGGGCATGTTCCATAAGCATCGCGTTGCGTTTGACTTCCAACACTAGAATCAGTCAAGAAAAGCGTGAAAGACAGCAAACATGATATCTGTTATTTTATTTAATGTAAATACATGTACTTTGTCAACGACCTCTGAACTGTTAATCTACATGTACGTGTTATTGATTTAAATAGGCATGATGTTGGTAACTAGCATTTGTATGCATGTACAAGTTTATGAGCTAATGACACTCTTACATGTATAAGAAATTTACAATAAACAGAAGCCACTCAAACCGAAGAAAATAATTCGGGATAATTATACCAAAATGGATGTTAAAAATCCATTTAACAATTAACTCTTACTAACCCAAGCTTTTTATGTAAATATAAAAGTATGATTACATGTAGTGGCATATAATAAGTTCACCCTTTATAGCAATTATTTGTATCACTGATGATTCTATGAAGCTGACGACACAAAGTTTTCTAGGAAAATTCTATTTTTTTAGGAACTGAACCTGTTTAGCAATAATGTTTTTTTTTCAAAGTTTGAAAAAAAAAATACAACTACTGTAAAACTTCATTTTCTGAATAAGTGCATACCTGATTTTTATACTGATATGAAAGTATTCATGTTATGAACATTGGTTAGATAAAATATTTGTTACCTTAGGAATATTTTTAAGGAAGAGGCACAAGAAAAACGTTGAAAACTTAAATTATCGAAAATCTTCTAAATTTTATTTTGTGAATATTTACTGGAAGAGCAGTCAATTTATCTTGATATTTTTTCCATATTTCCCTTTGAAAATCTTTATTGATTCATCAATATCTAATTCAGCATGTTATAGAAGTGATGTGTTTTAGGGTATAACTCAATCAAACTTATTATTGACATGTTAGTATCAGTAAGTTGCATACAGATTAAATATACTTTTTGTTTAATATTATCTGTAGAAATCTATAGCTTTTTTATATTGAGAAACTATTAATAAGTCATTCACATTAAAATATTTGTGTAAAGCTTATTCAAAATGAAAGTTGTTTTGCCTGATTTACAGATACAGACACAAGGTTTAATCTTACTATTCCCTTCAGTGTTGTTATTCCTATTGTCGTGGTTGTTGCAGTCCTGATTAGTGTGATCCTTATAAGGTAAAATATCAGTTCTGTAGTTAAGAGAATTAAGGAAAAAAAATAACTTTAATAAATATATTCTTTTATCTGATAAATTCATTATATGGGAAAAGGGTTTTAATTAAATTTTGTGTTTGTCACTTTTTTTTCAAAGTTCACGGTGCGTATTATCAAAATTGTAAACATTTATTGATGAAATATTAAGTATACGGTTATCTTGATATGCATGTATGACATATGTTAAATTAAACAATTAGTTGCATGTTTATGTATAAATTAACTAAATTTAATTAGAACTTTTGAAAAGGTGCTTAATAAAACTACAAACTATCCAACTCGTTTGATGAAAGGCAACAAAGCTTAATTTAAGCAAAATATTCTAACACACTTTGTGTACGTTAAAATACGTACAATTTGAACTTTATTTACTGCTGATATTTAGCCAATATAGTATTTTATCATTATTATTTAAGCATAATCTGATATAAAACCTGTGCCGAACTCACTTTTTCTTAACATATTCATTTGTATCAAAAGCAGATTATCTCATATTTATCATATTTATTTTATAGATAGCAAATTATGTATTAATGCTTTTGCAAAAGCAAGAGTTTATCTAGGTAACCATAGAAATAAAATAGCGAACCTTTTTGCCTTATTTACGTATCCTATTTAAATGGACATATATCATGTATATGTTTATAAATATTATGCATTTCAAGACGAAAAAGACACGGCAGAAAAAAGAAAAATATCCATACACATGATAGAGGAACATCTCAACAAGATGTTACCAATCACTACTCAATAGTAGACAAAGCAGGGAATCATTTTCAACTTGAAACACAGCCGAAGAACTCCAAAGATCCTGCTGATATTGAACTGCTGAGGTCACAGAATTCATATTTTTATAAAGAGGAAGGAGTTTATGATCATCTTAGAGAATCAGATCGCAGGAGAGAAGATAATGAGGTCATCTATGATCACACGAGATTTGTAGTTGGGGGTGGAGACTGTGATTATGATACTACACAGAGTGTTAAAAAACAGGAAGTGGAAAATACTTATGATTATACCGAAATAATAACTTCTGACGCCGTACATGCTGACTATGACCTTCTTACGGAAGGGTCCGGCTAAGCTGGCAGTGAAAACCCCAAGAACAGATGGAATGTTCTGTAATTATACATCTCTCAGAGTTGAATAAACAAATAAACAATGATTACATACATGTAATTGATCAACATTTAAAGTGTTCACAGTCTAACAAATGTTTTTTTTTTAAATGTCATTTCTCTTTTTTTAATATATCCCTTGTATTCGTTTTATCAAGTCATTTTTTCAGATTATTTCATGAAACATTAGCTTCTTTTAAAGGGTTTCTTTCCAGCTAAAGTATCATTCAATCATGGTTTTGTGTTTGTATTTTTCTAGAAATTTTAGTGTATTTAAAGAGCATTAAATTGAAATCTTTGAAATTGAAATGGAATGAATAGAATATTCAATGTAAATATATCAATTATCAGCTGAATTAAATAAAAAAAAATTACGTTAATTGGTCAAATGAAAATCACTCAACAGACATTACTGTCAGGAGATAAAGTGTCATATCCTGGGGATACATTTCATACGTTGATCATGGAATCAACAACACACCTACCCCAAAAAATTCCTGTCGTTTAATTTTCGTTATTTTTGTATATTTAGTACGTGACTATATCTACTGCATGTGTGCACATTTTGGACAAAATCGTTCGAGTGTTTTTTGGACAGGAACTTCCAAAAGTTACCCCCTTTAGTTGTTTACAAGGAGAGAAAAATTTTAATCAATGAACTACTTAAACCTTGATTTTCAATAAAGCCAGGTTAGATATAAATGTCAAATTTCACTGCCTTATTCCTGTAACCATTTAACATAAAAACATAGTCATTTTTTTAATATATATATATCAGCAAAACAATTTTTAAAAACCTTAAACTGAATAACTATGAATTATCTAAGCCATGAAAAGTGTGTATTTTTCAAATTCAAGATTTTTTTGTGAAAAAACCTGTCCTTTTATTTTGGTAAAAAACTTTCTTTAGGTGGCTGGTAGTAAAAATAATCTTTATAATTTTTTGTAGAATTTTTGAACGACCAGTTTTGATTTAATAGCGGAAAATTTCCCCCACCCCCTTTCTTAATAAATCACATTCCCGCGCGTCTTTCAGACGGGGGACGATCACTTTGCTATGAATCTATAGATACACATTTTTAAAAAATCAATTTGGAATATTGCTTTTGCATCAAAAACATATTAACTTACAAATTTAAAAGTTCTCATATGTAAAGCGTATTTAAATGTATATTTTAAGGCATTTTTTTAATACCCCTACCACCCCCACCCCTTCCTTTTTTGCGTCGCAGACCATTAGCTTTTGACGAAACTTCGTTTACAGTGCAAATTATACTAGTATTTCGTCATTTGAATCCCGGAGGTATGCATTAGTTTTTAAATTCATGAATGCAGAAGAAATATTGACTACTGTTTTTATATTTATCAGGAAAAAAATTACTGAAGGATTTTAGTGTTTAGTCCATAGGCCTATATGTATGCGTTATGCATTCCATATCACATGAAACCTGGATACGAATTCAAGTTATGTTGAACTTGAATATGTTGATTTTTAAACTTATCTCTTTGATTTTATTTATTAAAAAAATGGTGTATGTTCACCTCTCATGTGGTATAAATGGAATAATTGTAGTTTCTTTCATGTCATTATTTCAAACGAGACAGTATGTGGCCGTGGGGATACATCGACATTTGCATAGATGTACACCCCTCATATTGTACGCATTCTTTCAATGTTGTGCTTTTAAAATGAAAATTCCGTATTCGTCCACATTAACTCTTCGTCTAATTCAATTCATATCAAATCGCACATTGATATTTTTAAAAATCTTATAGGCAACGTTTTGTTTTGATTCGAGGAAATGCGAACCGACATTGTTGACAGGACAGAAAGTCAAACGATTTGCTGCAATAGGATATTCATAAATGCAGATAATTTCAGTACTAGTGAACAATTCTTTTCAATTCTATACTTACATTGTGTATATGAGCACTATAGTATTCAATTCTCGGATTTATCAGGTCTTGCTACAAATGAATCTGATTCTGTGGAAAACCGTGAATAAAGGGAGGAAAACAAACATCTCCTACATTTTCAGAGTTGTTCCTCTTTGATCAGTAAGGGTCCGAGCACAACATCGATTTTACATTGTAAAAAGTTTTTTGTTTGTTTATTGTTTTATTTAATTAAAGAAGAAAAACAATATCTTTATCGTAAATGCACAAATTGTAATGAAGACCATTAATCGGAATGTTATATAGCCAATTGTACATAATAAGAATTTCGGCAATGTACAATAAAATTTTCAGAATAAAAAAAAAATGCTGCGCTTTGATCAAGATTACAATTTATTGTATATGAAATGAAATGAAATAAACATTTATGAATGGTATTTCATGTCTTGCTTTTTACGGAGTTTAATCGGGTTAATTAAAAAATAATTATTGATTGAGTATGGTACACATAATCACAGCCAAGCCCCGTATCCCATTTTTCTTTTATGATTGATATACATGTACATCGGGATCGTTTTACTCGTCATTTTGACGCTTTATTTTTGATGTTAATTTGACGTCACGTCAAACGTTCAATTGAAATCGCAAGAGTTATCTCCCCCAGTGTGTTGTACGTCTTTAAAATATGGTTTCCATGATAAATGTAAAAATTAAAGAATTTCAAAAAAATCATGGGATTATCTTCCGGAAATACAATTGGTAAAGTGTATGATAATCACAGCATTATCTGCGAAAATAAAAATTAAATTAGGTCAAAATTATCATTTTTAGATATCAAACAAATTTGTTTAAATTTTGATGCATGTGTATAAATCATATTCTTGATTACATTTACCAAGTAGTATTAAATGTATGTACAGTGCTTGATTGCTAAGTGTGGTATTGGTAATAATTATATGGAAAAAAATAAAATTGAAAATATGCTGAAGATTACAACTATGTTTCTAAATATATTCAATAAGAAATTTCAAATCTTCTATTAATTTTTTTTTAAGAAATATGCCTTATGGCTAAATAATATGCAATCAATGAGAAGAATTATACAGTTTACTTTATTCTTCTTGTGCAATATTGGCCGACATTTTATAAATTTGATTCAAAATTTCAAAGTTTATTTTTTTGGCAACTGAATGTACGTTTAAGAATTCATGCTTTAAAGAGATGAATGATTGAATTTCATGTTTACAGAATTTTGTTATTATATTTGAACCAAGTAAAAAAAATGTATGATTACCGACAGAGATTATACAAACGATGTGATGTTCTTAATAGCTGTGATTGTAAATAGTCTGCAAATGATTGGAAATATCAATAAACGAATGTCATTCTGAGTTCTACGAAATATAGAAAAGTGACTATCAAATCTATCTTGATATAAAAATATGGTCAATATAGCTTGCAGCTTTGTAGTAATTTTGTTTTTAATTAAGATATGATATGTCGGTCATTGATACATATTTGAATGATGAAAATACTTAGAATGATTTTCATTATGACTACCTTTACCTCCCTACCCCCATTCCCCACCTAACCGAAAATAAGATGAACATTTAAGGTAAGCTATACATGCTATTATTTCACACCTTATTTCACTAGCTAATATAACATGTATAGCTCTGGCTGAGTCTTGCAGAGGTACACATACCTTATAGCAGAAAATGAGGATTTATGTATTATACACTAAGAAAGAGGATTTTCTATTAGTGTCCTCTTTTTTGAATTCAAAATGAAAAATGACGACAATGCAATTTCAGCAATCAACATTTTTTTTAATTCATTGCCATGATTGAATACATTGAGAATTGGTGAGAACACCAATTTTTATGTTAAAACAGACAAATTATTTATCGGTTTTCTATATTAACAGTCAAAAATTGGTGAGTGCACCAATTTGAATTAAGAATATATCCAAATAAATATTGATCTTGGTGGTTCCACCAAGAAAACAAGAGTGACTTTTACAATTCATAATTCTCTAGTTAACCATTCAACTACTTGGTGGGTCCACCAAAAATACGAAGACGAATACCTAAGAATACTTGAATTACATGAAATAGATATAGCAAGTGTATTTATCAGTAGTGGGGATTTTGGTGGTTCCGCCAAAAACATTAAATGTGGTGAAATTCTCGATAACATTTTAAAAATGCCGTTGGTGAATCCACCAGTTTTAAAATACTGAAACAAACCTTTGAGAGAAACTGACTTGTAGAACCGTATAAAAAACGTCCTTTATACAGAGTCGGTGCACTCACCAAAATGCAAAAATTCAACTAACAAGACATTCATTTTTTCTCTCACAAATACTTGGTGGATCCACCAAAAATACGAATAGAAATTCACAAGAATTCTTAAATGATTCACTGTCAAGATTATCTAGTTTTCACAAATATTAGGCAGTTTGGTGGATCCACCAAAGACATTAAAATCAAAAGGCAATCATAATTCTCTTGTAAAATAACGTAGAGACACCTAATACATTTATGTACACAAGAGCAAAAACCTGGTGGGTCCACCAGAAAATTCGAAAATCTTCATGTAACTCAAAGATCAACTAATTTGTCTCTAAATATAGAAAGTCGTTTGGTGGACTCACCAACCTGTAGAAAAACAAATTCCTAGGTTTCCTTAATTTCACTAACAAATACTTGGTGGACCCACCAAAAACAAACCGAATACTTGAATGATATACATTATATTATCAGCATTGCCTAATTTTTTAAAGTGGGGAGTTTGGTGGGTCCACCAAAACATTAATCAAAGAAACATTTGTAGATTTCAATTACAATGACTAAGTTCCTTTCTATATTATATGAACAAAAAGTTGGTGGATTCACCAGAAAACGTCGAAAATATACATCTTACACTCTCTTTACTTTTTGTTGATACATTCGCAATTCAATAATAAGTGGAACTATGAACATGTGATTAATTTACTTATGAAATACAATTTCAAAGATTTGTATACATGTGTATACATTTTCAAAACAAATGTGAATCCTCCAATAAAGGCAAAATGTTATATAAACATTATAAAAATTACCCGGTATTTACCGTTTTATTTGCCTGCTAATAAAGAGAAGAAAAAACAAATCTTTCCTTGATTTTTTAAACAAAAAATACTTAGTTTGTTTCTTTAACTGCCCTACGATTTTGGCGATTTTCCGTGTCTGCACCTACTGTATTACACGTTCTGCAATGGGGTGCGTATCCGAGCATGACACTTAAGCAAACTACTACCATCGGAGTCCAAAATATATTATTGGACTAAATATTTCAATTTAATTTATCCCTTTATGAATTTTTTACTGAAGCAATCAAAATACACTAACTCTAGTACTCTAAAATACACACATAGTAAGCATTAGGAATGAATGCTGCACAAGTAAAAGTGTCAACCATGAGAATTAACACCATTAAAAATAATAAAAAAAAAAGCAAAACCTTTAAAAATAGATAATGAATTCATCATCAATAGACTATGTAGTCATTCCAAATAGAATTTAAAATTATACATCCAAGTCCAACACAATCACAATCGCAAGAGTTGATATAATACATTTTTATCCCTAACATTGATGTCCCTTTTCACATCTATGGTATGGTTTGCAAGAGCTAAGGCCCGAATTACATGTACTGACTTTTTGCAAATTATGTTTGGAAGGTGGTATTCCTTTTCCAGTTGGTTTGTCTTCTGATATGAATTTTCTTTAACACGTTTTAGCCATCCTTTCATAATTAAACTGTTGAATATGTAATTCACCTTGATTTTTCTTGAGTAAAAGTACAAATTTTGCTTAAAAATGTTAAAACTATCATCACAATATAACATCGGTGATATCTTGTTTAACACTGTTTTCTGGTCTCTTTACAATAGTATTTTTTAGACATCTCCGTTTTTCTGTTTCTAATCCTGAGACATCTTGGTACGTAGTTGCAGTAATGCTGGACTTATCACCATCATCTTATGCCCTATGATAAAAGTAAATGTACAAATTCCGTGTATGGTGCACAAAATTTTAATGTTTTATTTTTTTCATATATTTTATAGAATTTCATATTTTAGACAATCAATTGAATTCAATTCAAGTAAACAGAATTTGAGAAAGAGGCCCAAAGGCCACATTGCTAATATCAGATTAAAGAATTAAATAAGAAAGCTTTCCTGGCATTTTTTTTTCAATTGCATTGCCCAAACCCTAGGCAGATGCTTTGAACATGTTTGTATCTACATCTCCTGAGGATACTTTTCAATAATTTTTTTTTCTAATTTCGGCTTTTCTAGTCTAAGATTTTAAATAAAATATCCTGATATTTCTTCCTTGCATAACTTTGATATACTGTTATAACCGCACACTACCGGCAGGGGTATGATTTGGAAAAACTTGAGATAACCTTACATTATATTTTCGTAAACCTAATATTAAAAGTAATGTACAAAAGCTTTTAAGTGAAGATGACGGAAGATTTTGTAACCATATAATGTACGTGTACAAATATTAACGCATTCAATTTGTACTTACAAAGTTTTTGCTTCGGAAGGGGGGGGGGGGGCTACAAAATTAACTTGACAGAGAAAGGACACAAATAAAACAGGAAACCACATGCTGATCTTCATATAAAATTATAAACCCATTTTGTACTTGTACCTTTTATTTATCTTGATACTTTAAAACATGATCTTCACTGCATCAACAAACTATCCATCAAGACAGAGACATAATTATTCTTCATATTACCTATCTCACTTTCAAAATAAATGCGACTTACCATTGTAACTGTTGTAAAGCCAATATATATTCGTCCTTTTCTTCTGCAAGCCTTATGGTCAAATAAAATCCTTAGATCTATCATCATTCAGCACATGTTCAGGTAGATGTCTATTGCAACATATTCCATTAATAAAAAGTTTATAGTTGCATACACTTTATCTTCCATGCTTAATATAAACAATGTCATGCACAGATACTTCCTGCTACATGCATAATTCCAACACCATTCGGCAATCCTCGGCTGACTCCGCTACGCTCCATTCAGTCATGTGCAAGGTACAAGCCATCCGAGGAACTCCGAGTGTTCCAACTCTCATTCGATTCAAATTATAATGTTGTAACACGCGCGGGCTTAGATTGGTAATGCATGTCTCTATCCTGCGTGGTGTATCGCGCATATCAGACAGTCAAGGTCAGTCTATCGCGGACTCTGATGGTCAACAGTGATTTAAATTCTCGTTTAACTTATTGGTATTATTTTCCCCTGTCTCCCGTGCTAAAGCTTTTTTATTTCATTTTAAAATCATTGCGCTGTGTAATTTTTGTGAGCTGTCTTCAAAAATTAATCTATTGCAGTATTTATATGTAAATAACGTAATGCTCTCTCAAAAAATCAAAATAAAAGTAAAAGCAAAACAACAACAACAACAACAACAAAAAAACAAACAAACAAACAAACTTCGTTTTATATTACGTTAACATGTGTACAAATACAAAATGTTGTGAATGATTTTTATTTATTTAAAAAAAATCACTATTAATATGTTAAAGATAACTGTGGGAGAAAAAAAATCATCAATCACTCTGGTCAACTGTTACAGTAAATAAACATGAAAAAACAAGCAACATAGCAGCTGCAAGACATTTTCATAACACTCTTTTAGAATAAACAGGAAATCATATGTCAAAATTGCTAAAGGTTAGAAGCGAGTCTTTATTATATCACAGTGCATTTTTCGCATAACACAATATATGTCAGGTCGTATAATAGTTTCAACAATGAAGTCAATTTATGCAAGTTCATTTACTGCTTAAATAAAACATTTTTGCGTCTTACAAGGCGTGGGAGTACATGTAGAAGTGTGTATATGCAGAGAACTGTGTATCTAGAATTATGAATTAATATCCGAGTTTTATTTAATGTTATTTACAATGGAGTTCAACTTTTTTTCTAGATTTATTTCCATGACACTGAATTTGCCATCGTATATGTAAGACATTATTTCATAATTTTATCTTATACATCCATACTGTATCAGTATTTACATGTTTTACATATACAGGAGTAATGTGAACTCGTACAATCGCATTTTCCAAATTGCATAACATTGATACATTCTATTTCCAGTTTATCATCTTCCATAGTAATGTATTTCATGTAGAGCAAAACAGCAGGGAAGAAGCTGGTCAGGTTAACACGGCCCGATTATCCAAACAAGATAATATTATGGCTCTCTGCCTTGATAATTTTACTAACTTGCGTACAAGTATTTATAGTTCCGTGTTTTCTGTCGGGAGTGGTACTCTCATATATTTCTATTCGAGTTTGCCAGTTTTATATCACAAAAACTTGTTTTCCCTTGAATGACATCAGGTTCCACCACATTTAAAGTTAAATTCGATTAAATCCCTTACTTTTCTTTCGTTCTTTTTCCATTTACTTCACATTGCCTTTTTAATAAAATGACAAATATTGACCATGTACTTGAATGAAAATTTCTAATGAGAAAGTAGGTAGATGTAAAGGAAATAATTACACAATTTACAACAAAGTTCCTTTTTATCTTTTTATAAAATTGATATTTAGGATATTGGTGACATTTTTATAGTAATTACATGTAACATGATTAAGACCTATGATACAGATTTATATAAAAAAAATCAAAAAATGCTCTAAATATTGACTTCTCTTTTTACTGATGGAATTAACACAGGATTTAAAAAAAAATATTTACATTGCTGAAAGAGAATAAAGGACATAATATAAGTGGAAATTAAAAAACAATAGTGACTTCGCAATAAAACAATTATTACACAGTGCAAGCCAACTGGGCATGAATTTAGCAGTAAAAATATTTTTGAAATAAGTTTGGAGACCTTTTAATCATCCATGACTCCATGTTTCATAATCAGAGCCCACTCCCCCACCCCCGCTTCTCAAAACATATCTCTCTTGCAGTTAATTCACTAGCCTACAATGTTTTGTCTGATGAAAGAAATCAGTTTCACAGAGAGCGCATGAAAACAATAAAATTTCTATAATTTTTCTCTGGACATAACTCGTCTTATCTTTTGCATTCTTTATTAAAAAAGATAAAACAAACACTGCCCTTGGAAACATTTAAGTTCTGTACGTGTATCATGATTGTGTTATGTATTTTATTTTATTTAACACTATTTGACAATACCGCTTTGGACATTAGAATTGCTGTCAATAAGCAAATATTAATATTTTCAACTATTCTCATAATATACAATCATGCCTATCGGAAGATATTTGACAAGCAAAAAAAGGGGAGGGACACAAGGGTCATTTGAAATTCCCTCTATTTGAGATACCACTTAAAGAGTTTTAGGCACTCTTAAAACAACCTTAGTCCTTTACGTTTTTTTATTAGGGCACCCACCATGACGACATCATTAAAAAGACAAATATTTTTTAATAATATCTATAATGAGTGATAACAGTTCCTCTCCGTTTAAATTATTATTCAAGCAGAAGTATTAAGTAGGGATGTCAAAATACTAGCATCTATTTTCCGTAGTCATTCGATCGCATTATTCGAAATCGACTATTCGGAGCATTTATTTATTTATTTTAAAGCTTGGTGTTTTAGAAAGCTTATTAAATAATTAAAATAAATCGGAAAGGGAAATTGTAAACACCCTATATTCACCTTAGCCGATATTGTTAGATACTGCATGCTCAAGTAATGATTACCCCGGCTATCAAAATGTCCTTACTACTCAGTATTCAAGATTATTGTATTAAAAATTTTCTAAGTTTAAATACTTCACGGCTATGCAACTATTTTGTGATCCTAGCATTTGAAATTCCTAGAGGCTTTAAATATATTTAAAAATGGTACAAGTCAAATTAATAACTTTATGCCCGGGAAAAATGAAGTATACAATTGAAATATGTCTTCATCAGCAAACCACTTCGATTTGTTGATGAAAAAATGCGTCTGAATGATGAAGACAATAGTGGAGAATAATTTACGGAGAGCGTCTAGTCGGATAAGAATCGAACAAAATCGATACCCAAAATTTCATACTTTATCAATTCCTTTAGTAACAGTTGGCTGCATAAAATATGAATTGAAATCAGATATATGAATGACCTATCAGCAAAAATAGATTTGTATTGATGAATATAAAACCCAAACTGTATAACTTACGTTTTTATGCGAAGAGTAAAATTTCATGTTCTAAGACAGGAACCTTTTTCGATAGTAAATGCTTAGCAACTTTATGTATTAAATATGAAAGACATATATTCTTAAAGATGAACTTCATGAAAGTTAGTATATTGTGTTTGTCGTAATTTATAATGGGAAAAAACATTTTTAAAATCTTTTTCATGCAAAGTGAAACTTTAACTGTGAATTACTTCTCCCACCTTAATCCCATGCACATGTCAAAACTTAAACCTAAATGTATAGAACAGACAGGTCATCTGGGCTGCAAAAAGGCCAGTAAATGAGAATTTATTATTTCGGTTGGTAAATACTGTACTTTCAAAACAAATGTTCAATATGATTAAATGTTAATTTATTAAAAGACAGAATATTACGAGATTTTGCTCCTTCAGACGAGAATAAAGCGCGTTTTACAAGGCATGTTGTTAATTTTAAATATACCGGGTGGCAGTAAACAAAAAATTTACAAATTGTCATGTTGTAAATTTTGTATTTAATTACTGCCACCCGGTAAATGCAAAATTTACAACACAGCATTACCTCTACCTCTCAACACCAGAAACTGAAAGAGAAGAAATGTAGTGAGGGATCTAGAGAGAGTTTTGGGGTTTTAACATCCTCTAAGAGAGAGCGAGTATTCCAACATATGTGTTGCGTTTTTATCAAAGTAAAACCTCTATTAATAGATAAGTTTAAACTTTAGTTTAACGCTTGTGTCAATGTTTCTTGTTCATGCATTTTGAGATGAGAATTTTATGATCACCTCCTTTTCTTGCATTTATTCAATATTCAGATATCGTTTCGTTATTATATCGTAGGTCCATTCGACTGATAGTCTAATAGTCCCCTATTCATTGACATCCCAAGTATTGATGTCTGACAGTTGATTTTGGGTGTTGCTATGGAAAACGGAAATTTTTTGTCAAACAAATAACATAGATTCGATATAAAATAAGAGAAATTCTTTTTGTAAAAATCATTTCTGATAAAAAAGATGTAAACTATTATATATTCATGAGTCATACAACCCTCCGGAAAAAAACTGAAAGAAAGAGTCCCCAGTAAATGTACAGTATCTCTTGTATATAGTTTCATTTAACAAAGATGGGCAGTTACGATTATAATTATATATTCATGTAGACTCCAAACATCCGGGAAAAAACATAAGATGCAAATCAAAATTGAAAAGAAACTAGAGGTACTGTGAGCAATTGGCTCACTAAATGATAACCCCGTCTTTAATATGAATATAATGACAGTACCAATATTTTGCTGTGGAAAACCCAAAATATGTGTCGGATCAAAAAGTAAAATAGAAGGTGCACAATGGCAATATGTAACAAAGAGTCTATGAAAGTTTCATCAAATTTCATTCAGTGGTATGGGGGAAGTTGACGATATAGATGGGTACCCCAGAGCGTAACAGACGGACGGACGGATATACCGATTACTATATACCCTCCCGCTTTTCAAGCGGGGGGATAAAATGTTTGTTTTTTAACATTGTGAAGGGCTGGGAGGATGTACACTCTGTAAGCGCCAGTAGACGAAGCTGTAAAACTACGGTTACCACATGTCGCTGTGAATGCAATTTAGCATTTGTTCAATCATAAAAATCTAACCCTTTCCTTCCCTGGTGATGTCTCAAAGTCCACCCCTTTTCTTTCACCTGTAAATGCTGTTTTAGGGATGTACGGTGTGTTATTTTTTCCGTTATATAGTTATCTATAATAATCATAAATCATGCGTTTGCGGTTAAAGAAAAAAAAACATTGTAATGAAAAGAGTTGTTTCCTTTGCTAATTACATACAAACAGAAAAATTAGTTAACAGAGTGAAATGCGAAAATAATAATAAGATGCAAATCAAAATTGAAAAGAAACTAGAGGTACTTTGAGAAATGGGCTCACTAAATGATAACCCCGTCTCCAATATGAATATAATGACAGTACCAATATTTTGCTGTATGGGAAAACCCAAATGTTTTATATTTATGTCGGATACCAAAAAGTAAATTTTCATAGGTGCACAATGGCAATGAAATGTAACAAAGAGTCTATGAAAGTTTCATCATATTTCATTCAGTGGTATGGGGGAAGTTGAAGGATATAGTGATGGGTACCCCATTTTATTAAATTGATTTACGGACGGACGGATATACCGATGACGGTGATACTATATACCCTACCGCTTTTCAAGCGGGGGGATAAAATGTTTGTTTTTTAACATTGTGAAGGGCTGGGAGGATGTACACTCTGTAAGCGCCAGTAGACGAAGCTGTAAAACTACCACATGTCGCTGTGAATGCAATTTAGCATTTGTTCAATCATAAAGATCTGACCGACCCTTTCCTTCCCTGGTGATGTCTCATCGACCGGCGACGCTGAACCCCTTTTCTTTCACCTGTAAATGCTGTTTTAGGGAGTGGGGTTTACACGCATG